GTAGGGAAATGAGTGACTTTGTTGGGTCGATTTTTATTGTTTTATTATGCATTCAGTTGCATAACACCACCTGAACACACACACTTCCCAGGCAGGCATGGGACTCTCCCAGATGCAAGCCCCACGCAGCCATGCAGCTGCCTTTAAATCTTTAGGGAATCTGACATCCCTGTTCTGGGGCAGATTAATGCAGCTCCAGTTCCTGTGGAAGTGGGGAATCCAAAGATACTTTTTTGAAAACATCATTTGCAAAAGCAGGCCAGCAAGCTTCCATCAGCCCAGCCTCAACCCGTTTAATATAAACTTGCCAGTTATCAGTACAAAAGGCCATTGTTCTACGCTGAACAATCAACCAACAAAAGGTGTTGGTGTGTGAAAGTCTAAGTGATGGTATGGCCTTTTCAGACAAAAACAGCAGTCCTAATGTGAGGTTCAGTTTCTACACAGAAAGTATCTTGCATGCTTTTTGAAACAAACTGAGCTTCAGACCTGTTATATCAGTAACTGTTGTTTGATGACTCCCGTGCTTCAGGGAAGCAGGGAAAAAAGTCTTTCTCCAAACATTATTCATTCCTCCAAAGACAAGAATAGATTCTTCAGGTTTCTAGAGTGCTCATATCCTGATTCTTTGTAGTGCCTTTTTTTTTCGTGGAAGATATTCAAAAGGACTTAAAACAGCTAAAGAACACTGCAGCAGCTGGGCCTCCCTAGAATCTCCTAGCACAAAAGACGTAGAAAACATCCATTAATTGCTACACAGTTTTTGAGACATGTCCTCCTGAGAATTCAGTTAAGAGAATAGCTAAGGAATTACTTGGTTCATTCCTTGTATACCTCTCATCGGAGGAAGCCAAGGCCTGCAGGAGGATGGAATATACAGCCGATTCTGTGATTTTGTAAGAGTAAAGAGGAAAACGAAATACAGTTGTTTGCATAAGTATCTCAACTGCTTTTTGTGTGCAATACAAATATAACCGCTCCTTACCCCCACAGTACAAAGATACCCTGAGGAACTACGAGAGATCTGTTTCTTTCAGAAGGCACAGATGGAGAGAAGACAGAATAAATGGCATATCTGTAACAGCACTAAGCTCGGTTAGATGCCCTCAGGCTGTTCTTTAGGATGGCTCAGTGTTATGCAGTGAGATGGTCTCATGACTTGGAAACCCCTCCAGAGCTCTCTATTCACTCACTAAGAGAGGTTCTTATGCCTGGGTCAAGTTCCAGATAGAAATGTTACAGAAAATTTCAAAGAACGGAATTTGGAAAGAAAACCTCCTTGAAACTGAACATTTATCAATGAAAGATTTAACCTCATCTTCCATTTTATCAACATAATTTTGTATCTGCGAGCAATCCCACTCATTGGAACAGCATTGCAGAGTGGAGTAGTAAACTGTCCCCTCTCCCTGTGTGCTGTGGTTAAGCTTTTTAGCCTCATCAGGTAAAGGATTTTTGGGTAATAAAAAAAAGTATCTTTTAATATGTATAATGTTACAAGCCTATAAAGCTACCCTTGAAGCAAATGTTCTTCTCAGTATCTAAATCATTATGAATTAAAAATTAATATTATAATTTCTGTTGTATTTCTAAAAGTTCCTTTCCTCATTTCAAGGTGTCCTTCACAAAGGAATTCACTTACTCACAAACACACACAGGAGTTCTGGTAAAATCAGGCTTAGGAGCCCAAGGGATTAGCAGCTCTAACGAAAATCCCACCCTTCTCCTCCCTTTCTGTCTTTGATCTGCTCTTTGGGAAACAGGAGGGAGAAATAAAAATGGAAAGACACTCAGCTGTCAGATGTAGATGGATTGTATCTGACTATAGGTAACTTAACAGAAAATGAAGTAATCCCAAAAATGATGCTTCTTTTTCAGAGACTCAAGAAGAATTTGGCCCAGAGGTCATTGTGCTTAAATCAAAGAAACCCAAACAACATGATAACAAACTGAACATGGCTTGCTTGGCAAGGGCTTTCTACCCCAGGAACATCAGCCTTGATGTGCCCGAGAGTGACATTGTATATGATCTGAAGACACCTCTTTTTACGTCTGAGGGGATGTACAGTACCATGAAGGTAGTTGGAGTGGAACCAGGTGCAGAGGTGACCTGCAAGGCTATGCACAGGGGGAGCAAGGCTACGGCCAGCATAATTCTACCAGGTACAGGGTTGTAGTCCCAATGCAATGCGATGCTGGGGGATGCATCTTCCAAGATGTTTTTCTTGCCCTTTGAGAAGATAGCAGGAACAAGGAAGCATAGTCAGTAAGATATCTGGTTACTTAATCAGGTGAAGATGAGGTATTCAATAACACCTAGCACACATGGCCTTAATTCAACTGTTTAGGCCCCTGGAGTTTTCTTCCCAAAAAACCAAAGAAACAAACAAACAAAACTCCTTTAATATTTGCAAGGCTGCCTTTATTTAAGTCAAAACAGTTCAAGGGACATGAGTATGAGTGCTTGCTGGAAGAAAGCTTGAAATAACTTTATAACACAAAATAAAAAAGGACATGTGATTTTTTTTTTTCCCAAAAATGTTTTGGTTATTTTTGGGCCATTTTTCACATTGTTCTTTTCCTATGGTAAAGTTCATTTCAAAAGGGAGAGAAAATAAAACTCAGCAGTCCTGGGGGTTGTTTCTGCAATTATGTGTAGAAAACAGATTTTTCTCTTCAAGTTTATGTCAGAATTAGTGACCTGCCATCTGGTTCTCTGGTGCTGCCTATCTACTGCTGGGAAAAGAGCTATAGGCATGTTTTGTGTAGTTTTTGTTTTATATAGCTTGGATACAATCTATAGTGTCTCTCAATCTCAATCATTCAGCAGAAGAGAAAACTGAGGAATCTGAGACAGCGAATGCTTGCACCATTACAGATGCTGCTACAAAAGGTTGGTGGCCTAAAGGAACAGTAGCATATGGTTACTTTATCAGGGATTCAGTAACAATGCATGAAAACCATCTTTGGTGCAGAAGTGCCTGAATTGTGGATACCCATTAAGCAATAAGATGCACTTTTTGGGGACTCGATAAAAAACATGAAAAAATTGCTTTCTCTGGTGCAGAGATGTCGGAATTGGAAATACTTATTGAAAAATAACCTGCTGTTTCGGGTTAACAGGCTAAATAGCTGACAGAGTACCATGGGATAAAACAGCAAGGGGAAGTAAATTCCTCACTGGACAGACATTTCCTCTCTTCCCTGCACTCAATACATTCTTCTGTCACTTTTTCCTTTGTGCCTTCTTCCCTCATCTACCTATGACATGTGGGTTTTCCTTCTTTTTTGGGGGTGGTGGAGTGGAGTGGTGGTGGAGTGGGAATACCAGGACTGCACCGTCCTCCCTCTTCTGCTTCTTTTAAGCAGATGTAAAAATGGAGCAAGTGAATATGATGTTCGTGGCTGTTTTCGGTTTGAGAGTCCTGCTGGCAAAAAGCATCGCCTTCAATACCATCATGACCATCAGGCTGTTTCTCTTCTGAGGTAGGAATCACATCATTCAGCCCCTGGGAACACAGGAGGCAAGTGCAAGGAGTGACCAGTTGGCTTTGCATCCTTCTGTAACCCCTCTGGGAGTGACATCCGCTCAGCCACTCCTGTTTCCACTGAATAAGTTAATGTAGCCCCCAAATTGCGCCTTGACCCCAAACTGCGTTTGCATCAGGCTAGTCCAGAGCATTGTGGGTTCTGTCAGAAATCTTCTGCTGATTGTTTCAAATGGCCAAGCACAAAGTCTGGATAAATATCTGGATCAGCAAGAACTATAAAGGGAGAATCCCCAAACCCAGAAATGTGAAAAGGGTGAAGGAAAAAGGCAGGGGGGAGAATTCTGAAGACCAGGTAGCAAAAATTGTCCGATACTTTCCAGATTAACAGAAACTCAGCACCACTGCATTAAATGTGAATAAGAGTTTAAAACAAATGTTGTTTGCTCTTTCAGGTGCTGGATAAATGAGCCAGCAATGGACTGAAGAAGAGCAGGGAAGAACACACAGCAGGATAATTTAAACACGATGGGTCAGCTTTGCTACCAATAAGCATCTAAAGGATCAACAGCCCTCCCCAGTTCCTATACATCTATGAGTCCCTTTACTTCATCAGGGTGCTCCTCAGTTACCACCACCTGGAAGCCTTCTTAGACAGCTAATACTGCTGAACTCTTGTCTAGCTTAGTTTCATTAATTGTTAGAATAATTTTTGTTAGTTCTTATTTCCACAAGAAATTTCCTTCATCCCCCTACTAACCAGGAATAGTCAGCTCTCCTACCCTCGTGTCTGTTGCACTGAAGCATCCAAATTGCTTAGATAGTTTCAAAAACTTAAAACTGAACTTTATACTTACTCTGCTTTAAAAATGCCATCTTAAAAATACCATGTTACATTACTGCCCACAGAAGGAATGCTTTTCTGCTTAGGGATCCTGGGCACAGGAGCAGCACCGTACAGTTTTAATTTTTAGAAGCTTTTTTTAGTGGCAATTTTCTAGTGCAGGTAACTGGATCTCCACTGGACCTGAAGGAATTCACTTCAGACAGCTACACCGTAGTGTTTTCATTTCCATTTCCTCTTTAGAATCTCTCTCTCTTTTGTTAAGTAGATGGTACCTGCATTTTAGATTTCCTTAATATACATCACAATAAAGTTTCATTATGCTTGGCTTGCACTGTGCCCTTTCTTCTGAAAGTTAGGTGGAAATTGCTGGAATTCCATTGTCCTGTCTAGTGACCACAGAGAACTAGAAAACCACATTTTACAGCCTAGATTTCATTTTTATTAAATTTGTCTTGGGCTTTCCATGGGGAAAGAAAGAGACTCCTTGGAACATTTAAGAGACTTCAGGGGGCTATAAATTCTGGCCCTACTGGGTTTAAATGAATTTTAATTATCCATGCCCCTTTCAAATTAGGCAGTCTCAAAATTGTGGATCAAAACACAAAGAGACATGGGCCTAAAGAGAAAACCCTTAAGGGGCAATAGGAGCATTAACATACCAACCTCAGAAGGTGAGAGAACAGGCTGCTGATGTTCCACTCACCAGTACGAGGAAGGGGCCAACAGGAAATACTGTGGGGTGTTTTGACAGATAACCCAGCCGTTTGGGTGGCAGTCAAAAAAAAAAAAGCACTAAATTTTGTCTCACGAGCTGCAAGTTGCTGCCTGCTTGAAGCAGGATACTGTGGTTAAAACCATGACTAAATCACTCTGTGCAAGACAAATTCCCCCTTGCTTTTAAAAAAAATGTTAACCACTTCTTGGGGGCAGGGCCCACAACGTTTTTCAGATGCTGACTAAACTACTGCTGGCTGCAAAATGGCCCCCAGAATGGCAAAATCAATTTAACTAACCTTGACAAGTTCAGTTGTTCAACCTCTCACTCCTTTCCAGAATATGTGACATTTGTATGGTGAAACCCCTGTCCCTAAGTCCTTTGCTCTGTGGTCAGGTCCCAGGAGGACACACTTAGTGCGGAAAACCATGGTGCTCACATTTTTGTTTCCTCGGCATCCCAAGGGCCAGATGGACACTAGGAGCCCGTTAGGTTATAAATGTCCCTTGAAACAGCCTCCTTCCTGTCCTGGTTAAGCAGCCCATGCTCCACTTGTGCAGTCTTGGTGACTCAGCCACACAGCCAGGCCAGGCTGGGCTGCGCTCACAGCATCTGCTTCTCCTGTACTGACTCCTTCTCACTCCGGCTGCTGCACCTGATTTCATTTCCCTGTAGGTAGTGCCCAGTGCTCTGGTCCCCTTCTGTCCCCAAACATGGTCCTGTCCCCAGTAGCTCTTTAAAGTTCTCCTGCCAAGTAGGGTAGCCCCAGGCCAAACTGGACTGTGTGACACAGAGCCTGCAGAAGCAGAGAGCTTTCTCAGGACTCTTTCTCACAAGGGCAAACCCTGATCCTTTTTGCTGCTGTGGGGCAGGTGCACACTCAGAGGTCTGTGTGTTGGCAGATGCAGCTAAAAGCCCATAGGAGCTGCCTTGGAGTGGTGGCACTTGTCGTGGTTTGGCCCCAGAAACTGAGCCCCCCCCCCAGCCGTCCGCACACTCCCCACCAGTGGGATGGGGGAGAGAATCAGGAGAGTAAAATTGAGAAAAATTGTGTGTTGAGATAAGAACAGTTTAACAACTGAAATAAAACAAAGTAAAATAGTAGTAGTCATTGTAGTAACAGTAATAGTAGAAGTAGTAGCAATACAATTATACAAAGCAAGTGATGAACAATGCAATTGCTCACCACCCACCAACCGATGCCCAGCCGATCTCAAGCAGCGATTGCTCTTCCCCCAGCCAACCTCCTCCAGTTTCTATATTGGGGATGACGCCCTATGGTCTGGAATAGCCCTGGGGCCAGTCGGGGTCAGCTGTCCTGGCCATGCCTCTTCCCAGCTCCTTGTGCAGAGCAGGGGAAGTTGAAATATCCTGTACTTAGTGTAAATACTGCTCAGCAACAACTGAACCATCAGGGTTTTATCACATTATTCTCATCATAAATCCAAACCACAGCACTGTGCCAGCCACTAGGAAGAAAATTAACTATGTCCCAGACAGAACCAGGACAGCAGTACAGCTAAAAGGGCACTTCCTTCCAAGCTTCTGCATGTTGGCACCGATTAACTTTAACAGGAAACGGAAGGAAGGACGTGAGCTTTCAACACATTGCATACACCCGCTCCTCCTCCAACAGGAAAGCAGTCTATAGGTGCAGTAATATGCCAGATAAGGAAATGTAATCAGTGAGTAGCAACATTTATGCAGAGTAATACTAGCCTTTGTCCCAGTCCAAAAAGGCGCCCAGGCTGGAAATTCAGCTTGGCCATGGCACTGGCCTCCTTGCAAGACCTTCAGATGCTGGTGCATGCTATAGGTACCAAATATAAGAGCTCAGGGATAGCTGCCAACTTGTTTGCTTTCCTCCCAACCTCCAGGGACCAGACATTTCTCAAGAGAACAGAGGAATAGCAGAGCAGCTTCTGGGATAGGCCTGGGACCCTTGGACTGACCTGTGCCTGTGAGGTTACTCTTGAGATCTGGGAGAGAGGAGTGAGGGGAAGGCACTTCACAAAGGAAAAATGTAAACAGGGATTGAAGAGAACAGGGTTCCAAGAGTGCTTTAATGAGGAAAGGAGTAGTTGGGCTGGAAGGGAAGGATTTGGATATGTGTTGGTAACGAGTTCTCTCTCAGGAGGGGTCACAGCTCTTCACTCGCTGTTGGGTAGCTGAGCCTCCGCAGATGCTGCATTGCAGAGAGGAGCCTGGTGTCCCTCTCAGTTTCCCCAGGGTTGGCAGGAAAGAACAGGCTGAGCTCCAGCAAACTCCAGCCTGGGACAAGTAGCAGGACCTGCATGTGAGCCTTGCTACCCCTGGGGAAAAATATGAGCCTTCAGCAGCAAATGGCAAAGGAGGATGAGGAAAAAGATCTCTAGGCCTTGGGCAAGTAGAAGACTTTTTGTCATTTCTACTGAAGCTGGAGAGAGGGCAAAGCTGGAAAGTGCAGGGGGATGGCAGGTGGAGGTGAACTGCAGCATCTGTGGGTACAAGAGACACTGTCAGAGCAGCATTTCTTGCACAGTGCACGTTTGTCCCGGGGCCATCCATGTGTATTGTCTGGGAAATCATCATCCACCGAGCATTTCTATTTCAGTCAACTCACATCTTCTTCCAAAGGCAATTCCCAGAGATAGAGGCGTGAACCCTTTCAGGCTCATCCTTTGCAAACACATGTGCCTCACCCAGCTCCTGGTGCATCTGGGACCCTGCCCAGCCCCTCTGAGATGTTTGGCTCCGCAGGCAAAGTGGAGGTGGAGCCCAGTGGGGAAGGAGGGAAGGAAGACAAGAAGTTGCCTGTCAGAAGTGAAACTCTACTTAGACAGGGATCAGAGAATTTCTGCAGCTCCATGACCCTGCTGCTTGGTTGGAACAGACCTGTGAACCCATCTCCTGCTGGACCTCTTCTGCAGCACAACGCGGTGAGCACCTCATGGCTGGGTATTTCAGGGCTTTACCTACTGCCCTGCAGCGCTCTGGCCAGGAACAGATCTGGTGTTTGTGGAAGCCCTGGGCTCATGTCCTGCTCCACTCCATGCTTCTGCCTCCAGGGCATGAGCTGAGCAAGGGGGCACAGCTCTCTCCTGGCTCCCCAAGGCCCAGCTGGCTGGGGGCAGGCATTAGCAGTGTGGAATGGGACATGGGTCAGCCTGGCCCCAGGGCCCAGCCCCAGTCCCACTGTCAGCAAGAGAGGAGCATCCCTTAGTCTGTGAGACCAGGGTGTCCTGGGGGTCCTGGGCCTAGACTGCAGAGCTGGGCTCTGCCATCATTGCTTGGTGTCTAAGGGTCTGCCCAGCCCCTGTCCCCGTTTGTTGGAGGGGTGATTCTGAGTAGTGTTTCCAGCAGCATCTCCCATTTCATGGGACAGATCAAACAGAGCCTCCAAAATGGCCCCTCTGAGAGATGAATGCAGCCCTTCCCAGACATGAAATGAGGCCTCAGCATGGTAATCCTTGTGGAAGAGTGTTGGGAATCCTTCACGCAGCTTTCTGTCCATGAGCACTTGGCTTTTGTTGTGTTCCTGGCTCTGGATTTCTGGCTTTCCTGCCCAGCCAGAGGAGTTAAGGAGATGCTCTTGTTATGAGCACATAATTTGGAGGAATTGAGATCACCCTCAAGCAGTCCTGCCTATAACGTTGAGCCCAAGATGACAAGTGCTCAATTCCCTGCAAAGCTGCTCAGCGTGACCATGCTTCTTATATTTGGCATCCATGTAGAGTAGGGGTGTGAGATGTGATGCTATCTGGCTTATCAGGACACAAGGTTTCACTTCCAGAGACATCTCTCTCTGTAGAATTGGTCACTATGCATTTGTCCTAGCGTGTTTTCTTGCCTGTTTCTTACCTGGTTTTATCTCTACTGTGGATGAGTTGGTTTATGGAGGCCAGCTGGAGTGGGTCAGGTGTCTGCTCTTTTCCTGGACACAGCATGAACTTTTTCTTCTTTTCGTAGGAGAGACTTTAGCAGTATCCGGACTGTGAAAGGCCTTTTTTTCTGGAGAAATGAAAGAATTGTCAGTCAGACCAGAAGCCTTGAGAGTGCTCAGCCCCCATGGAGGGCTGCAATGAGAAGGACTGCCCTCGTGGGGGCTTTTTGCTGTTAGATCTGCTGAGGAGAAGCAGCACCTAGCCCCTCTGCTCTGGGCCAGACTTGTAAATCATGTACTTGTTCCCAGGCTCTGTGTATGACAACAGAAATGCTCTGCTTGGTGGTGTGGCCTGGGAGAGAGGACAGAGAACTTCCTCATCTCTCAGGAGGTTCAAGCTGCGCTGGAGAGAGTGCTGTTAGCAACAGTTCCTCTTTAGACAGATGCCATCCTTCCTGCTGCTCCTAGCAACACTAATATTTGTTCCAAATATTAGGTCTCCCAACATCAACACACCTTTGATGGCTTTCTGAGGTGCCAGTACAGGACTGTGCAGGAGGGCCAAGGGTCGTATATAGAGTTTTGAGGATGTTGGCCTTGTGGTGAGATAATGTATCAGAGTCTTCCTTTCTCTTATTTGAAGCAAAGTTAGAGGCTATGAAACTATGTGTAAGGCTTCTGATCTGCTTGACAGG